TGTAATGAGTGATTTTGCTCTGTTTCGGGGGCGTGCGACCCACGGGCGCTCTGTGTTTAAATGCATCAGTGCGCTTGACCATATTCAATGTCCAGCGAAGATGGGGTCAAGGATTTTCGATCTTTGGAAACTGGGGCTTCCTTAAATCTTTTCCCCGAGTTAAAATTTATTGATTTTTGAGGCTTGACTCTCATTTATGCGCCAGTTTAACTGCATTCCGATTCCGCATTCGATATACCCTATACTTTCCACTGACTTGTTTCCTATATCTGCTCCAAGAGAATTCTACTATAACCCGTAGGTTATTTCCGTTCCTTACTCGTAGTTTTTTAAATGGCCCAAGCACCGAAGATTCAAAACCTCTGGGAACCATCATGGCCAAATTTTAATGATGTGAGCAACGGTAGTTCACTTTGGGACTCTGGCGCGACCAAGCCGGGAACTTTACACGAAAATCTCGACGGTATGCCCATTTTGATTGCTTCATGTGTGATGTTATCAGGATTTTCCGATGTGCTTATTTCCAAAGAGTCATTGTTTCCAGAAGGTAATAAATAGCTCCTTCGTCTACTTTTTAGCCAATGTGTGGTCATCTCTCGATGCTGACGAGTCTTCTTGTTCTTCTCGTCACCTAGATAATCAGCGGTCTAGCTCAGACCCATCTGATATTATCTCACCCTACTCGGCATGGAATTGCGACCAAATAGACAAGGTAACCACATTTGGTTTGTGTTATCATCCTCTTCAGTTGTGGAGTCCGTCCGCCAACGAGACGAACGAGTGGTCTCTGTCGTCCAAAAAAACATGGTTTGACTGTATTTCCAATGCCACCGGTCCAGACCCATTAAGTGAAAGTTCTTTTGCCGCCCCAGACCAAGTGCCTGAAAATATTATTCCAGAAAATGTCTTTCAAAGCGTTTGGTCCCCGTCCACATTTTGCGATTCTGATCTGCGACCGGAAAAGGCTGTTTGGGGTAAATTGCCAATTGAGAATGCAACTAACAACGAGTCGCGTTCGCTGTGTAAGTAGTTCTGTTTTGTATTTTTTGCTTTATCCTCTGTCCCAAGAATGGTCTCAGCCACTTATGCTTTGTAAAGCCCCCGATTCTTTTAGTCAAAAGTGTGTTTGGTAGATCTGGTAGATTTTGACTAATTTTGCATAGTCCTTGCAAATAATAAGAATTGGCTACAAAGTGCAGTGCTCAAACAGCCTGTGTGGCTTTTTGCGGCCATATGAATCTTACATTTGCATGTATATGTCCTGTTGAAAACTGCAAAGAATTAATTTTCGGCTTTACTAATGAAATCAAAACAAATTACGCGGTGGCGGTTACTGGCAATACTTCATTCACTTGCAATGCAGATACGGTCTAGACGGACTTATGTAGCTTCCTAGTATTCGTTCAGACTGTTTTTTTTACCATTGAATCAAATGTTAAAATCGGACTATTTCATGATCCGGTCTCCTAGTAGGTTTGCCCACGTTAAATCCTAGTTTGCTGTTCCCACTGCCTTGCTCCGTCTTACATTTACAATTGATTTAGTGCATAGTACATTCCGTACGAACCTTGTTTAGCCTTAAACGACCTTGATGACTACTTTATGGGCATTTAAGTTCGTTAAGGAGCACTATTAACAGTGCTATTTAGTAATCAAAAACTTAACGCCCTGGAGCCAGGCGCCAGCGGTATTGTGATTTAGGCTGTAGTTCCCCAAGTTACAGCTGCCTGTGATCCTTTGCAGTCACCTGATGGTGTCTTCAGTGGATTCTTAGTTTTCCATTTTTTATTCTAGTTAGCTATTCACGGTTTTTATTTAAACATTAACTCTTTAAGCGGGCGGCGATGATGTCACCACGTTAGCTACT